AAAAAAAAAAAAAAAAAAAAAAAATCAAATATTCATGAAAGTATTAGCTTTCAAGCAAAAATACCTGCGGCAAAGCAACAACTTCTCAGTTTCAAAGTCTGTCTAGACATTTATTTCCAAGAAAACTGTTTTTCAAAGTAGGAAAACTGTGAATTTAACTTGAATATGCATGCAGGAAAACAGACACCTTCAAGCAGTTATACTGTATGCTCTAAGAGAGTAAACAAATTTTGAAAGAACTGTTTTTTATACTCATTAACTCATTAGTAATGTCTGGACCCTAGAAAAGAAGGAAAGAGTGTGAGGGAAAAAATTTAGAATTTTTGAAATTGTGCCAAGCACTGTGTTAGGTAACTTCTTTGTAAAACAGGTTAGGTCATATTTGAGGCTGGACCACAAGTAAGGAAGGCTGGGGTGTACATGTCACACAGGGAAAATCCATTGCAAAATTTATTTCAGGGGATAAAACCAATATCCAGCTCATAAGGCCTGGGAGGCTTTTCCAGTCACTCGGTGGAATGTGGGGGAAGGTGATTTGGTTTGCAGAATGAAGCTGTCAGATAAAGCTGGGCTTAGAGAAAGCTGGAGCAAGATTTGGTTCCACCATGAACCAGTTATGTGACTTTGAGTAAATCATTTAATCTTTGTAAATTCAGTGAACTAGGTTAGACTCATGAAGAGTCCCTCTTGAGGATTGAGTGTCAACTGCAGTGACAATAACAGTAGTAGTTAACACCTGTTGAGCACTTCCTGTGTGCCAGACCCTGTGCAGAATGCTTGCCACTGATTAACTCATTTTCTCTCACAACAACTTTGAAATAGTTGAGGTGCTATACAAGTTTGTATTAACATATTTAAATGTACAGGAAAATCCCTATCACAAAGCATGCTCTCTTGTACTCAAATAGCAATTACCACTAATGATCCTGCATTAGCCCTTCATGATCTTTCTCCTCCAAGTTGGTATATTCTTCTATGGGTGTCTCATTATTACTGAGTAGATAAAAGAAAAATAGTCAGTGAATTCCCCAACATTTTCAGCACTATCCTTCCACCATTTACTAGCTGTGGGACCGGAAAATTACCTACCATCATCTCTAGGTCAGTTAGTTTCCTTTTCTGTAAGATGGGATACAAATATTGCCTACCTTCCTATTGGTGTTTTGAGAGCTTTAAAAAAGGTTCATGTAAAGCATTTAGCATAATGCCTGGCATACAGGTGATTTTAGGTACGTTGTTTTAAAAAAATCTGTGGAACGAAGTATATCAGGAATATAAATCAAAGTGACATCAAGATTTACTTTGCTGGGCTCGTTGTTTTAAAAAAATCTGTGGAACGAAGTATATCAGGAATATAAATCAAAGTGACATCAATATTTACTTTGCTGGGCTCGTTGTTTTAAAAAAATCTGTGGAACGAAGTATATCAGGAATATAAATCAAAGTGACATCAATAT